AAGAAACTGTCCTGATGTTGGAGTGATCGGCAATAATACAGAATGGACAAGACATACCTCTGATACAGAATAGATGCTCCTATTGATCTAAATTCATGACAATTGTGAAAAATTAATCCGGCTCTTCAAGACAAGCATTCAAGAGTAGGAAAGCTGGGCAATCGTAACTCCTTGAGCAAAAACTATCACTGTTAAAGTAGGTAAACACTATATATCGCGCCTGATCGAAAACAGATTGAAATTTCTTTTTCACGACCCGCATGATGCAAAATATCGGTCACACGAATGAAATTTAGGAGCAACGCATAAGAAAGGAAAGGACGGAGACCAAGAACACCACTGAAACAGAAATCATGAAATCATGTTTATTTTACCGAAACTAACCTCACTTTCTTCACAGCCGCCATGCCATCGCCATGCCGCCAAAAGAAAACTTGGGACATGTGTGCCAACGTTACTACTTGAAGAAGCGAGATTTTTTTCATTTTTTTGTTACTTTTATAAGAAGAAACTGAGGCTAATCAATTTTTTTTTAAGTAGAAGATCAATTTATAAACGATTCTCCCGACAAAGTCTCGGAATCGCTCGATTATTCTCGGTTATTTATCGGGATGATGGTTCAAAGTTTTACAGTGGATTTTTGTGATTTTCTCTGTGCAAGTCTGATTGTCTGATGATTTGAAATACCGCGCGAAGTTATGAAAAAAGCCCGCGAAGATTCGCGAGCGCATTTTTGCGCGGGAAAATCTTCTTTGCTTCCTTAATCTATATTTTTTCCTTGAGGTTTTGTTTTAGCGGTGCGCGAAAGTTCTAAGGAAACAGCGGGGCTCTAATATTTTTATTTTCCAAATTTTAGTCAAAATCCCGACAAAAAACAACGATTTTGACTTAAAATAAATTGGCTTGAGAATGGTGGGATTGGCACGGTCTCGGAAAGCTAAACATAGTTTTTCGGTAGGGGAGAGGGGCGTATGTCTGCGCGAAGGGTGAGGGACGAAAAGTAGAATTTGGGCTAAAAATTCAATCAATTGACGCAAGTATGATTATGAACGGCTCTCTGATGGTGGTTATGGATTCGATCAACATGAATCTATTGGAAAATAAAAACGAACCAATCGATAGCGTCTTGATCGGCACTCCGATTCGATGAACAACCATGAATTGATTGACAAACCAGTGAATCGATCGACTTTTCTGGGTGCCTATCAAGTCCCTGTAGATTGATTCACGTTTTAATTTTCCGGTCGATTGATGTCGATCGAATCTATCGCTTCTGATCGTGGCAAAACCATCCTACTTCTTTCAAGTGATCCCAACCTAAGCTAACCGGAGTCCTCCTGGTAGCGTAATGCCGTGTTAAGGAAGAACGGCGTATGAGCCTTCAGACGTATAGCCAAATATCCTCGAATAAAAAATGAATTTTCGAGGTTCGTGAATATTTTTCCTCGCATTCTTAAGAGAATTTTACTTGTAGTCAGCTCTAAATTACCTGACAAATTCGAGAGGGAATATTCACGACACGCATTAAAAATCAAAATTTTACCGGAGGAAATTAGGCAACTTTGGAGTGTCCATACGGCGTTTCTCCTCAGCACAGCAGTGTACAGTACTGCCGTGCCAAGGGAAAACACCGCATGAACATTCGAGAGTTGTCAGATTTTCCTTGATAGTACATGTATTTTTAACGACATTCATGCATGCTTTTCCTTGAAATTCTCAGATATTTTAGATTGAATTGCGCACAAAATTGTCTGAAAAGTTTCGAAAAAAACATTCAAATATTTTTCCTTGAAAATGGTTTTTATCGAAGGAAACTTGGCAACGTCTGGAGGTCCATACGACGTTTTTCCTTGGCACGGCAGGGTGAACATCGTTGGCATCATCACTCTCCCATCTTGGCGGGCAGGAGCATGACACGTGGACGCGTGTTTAAGAGCGCTAGGGAGTTAATTCATCCCTGAAATGATCCCGTTTTATTCGCTCGCAATCGTTGCGGGACCCCGTAATACGGCGGCCTTTTACGACGCCTCAATATAAGTGTTTACGACGACGCTCCTGCCCCGCGTCAGTTGGGGCTTTTTGTTTTACGACCCCCGGGTTTTACTCCCCCCACAATCCGCATGGCTCAAGGTTTTGCAAAACTATCGAATCGCCGACGCGGGCCTATCAACATTTCGGGGATANTCATGCATGCTTTTCCTTGAAATTCTCAGATATTTTAGATTAAATTGCGCACAAAATTGTCTGAAAAGTTTCGAAAAAAACATTCAAATATTTCTCCTTGAAAATGGTTTTTATCGAAGGAAACTTGGCAACGTCCGGAGGTCCATACGACGTTTTTCCTTGGCACGGCAGGGTGAACATCGTTGGCATCATCACTCTCCCATCTTCGCGGGCAGGAGCATGACACGTGGACGCGTGTTTAAGAGCGCTGGGGAGTTAATTCATCCCTGAAATGATCCCGTTTTATTCGCTCGCAATCGTTGCGGGACCCCGTAATACGGCGGCCTTTTACGACGCCTCAATATAAGTGTTTACGACGACGCTCCTGCCCCGCGTCAGTTGGGGCTTTTTGTTTTACGACCCCCGGGTTTTACTCCCCCCACAATCCGCATGGCTCAAGGTTTTGCAAAACTATCGAATCGCCGACGCGGGCCTATCAACATTTCGGGGATACCTGATGGAGGTGTTTCGGAGACGGTATAGGGCTAACACCCAGAATATTAGGATACACTGGAAAAAAACACATTGGATCTAGAGTCCATACTCATGGAAACATTGACAAGAAAAAATACTCTTGATTCAATAAGACTTTTGCTTAAATCAAAAGGAAATCCGCTCAAATTGAGGCTTGGTTCTTGATTTAAGCAAAAATCCGATTGAATCAAGAGTATTTTTTCTTGTCGATGTTTTTAAGAGTCTGTACTCAAGGTTTTGCAAAACTATTGAATCGCCGACGCGGGCCCATCAACATTTCGGGGATACCTAATGGAGGTGTTTCGGAGACGGTCCAGGGCTAACACCCAAAATATTAGGATACACTGGAAAAAAAAAGAAACACATTGGATCTAGAGTCCAGACTCTTGAAAACATTGACAAGAAAAAATACTCTTGATTCAATCAGATTTTTGCTTAAATCAAAAGGAAATCCGCTCAAATTAAGACGCTTGGTTCTTGATTTAAGCAAAAATCCGATTGAATCAAGAGTATTTTATCTTGTCAATGTCTTTAAGAGTCTGGACTCTAGATCCAATGTGTTTTTCTTTCCAGTGTAGCATTAAACAACGGGGGCGTTTGGACCGAATTTATCAGAAAGGAACCGACCCACATTGAGTTGAAACGAAGAAAAAGGGGTTTGAAGTTGTATTATTTATTATTCCTGCAAAAAACTCAAAGCAGAAAATGAACTTTTAACTCTTTACTTAAAGTAAGTTCTTTTTTTCGACTTTCAGATTTTGCCAGGAGAAAATACTCGACTATAGTGGAACTCGAAAACATTCTTAACTCAATTTTTTCAAAACTTTGGGTTGGTTCCTCTCTGATAAACTCGGTCTATTGATCCACTTAGAGCTTTCTTCAAGAGAGCGATCCTATTTAGCGGACGAATTGGACGTATTTAAACAGAATTAGCTTACGTATCTGTATTTTACGTTGCCTAATTTTCTCTCATGGTTGTTTTTTCAAACAGAGCATTAAACTACTTTACGCGTTTAAGCTTTTTGTGAATTTACTCTAGATTATGAGAATTGCACTCACAAAAATTGAAGTGTTGCACAGTTTTCTGTTTAAAATTGGAACACCAGATAAAGTAAGACTACAACTGAAGTAAAAAGGCTATAATTCCGGTAAAATCCAGTTAAAATAAAACTAACCAACAGTCCCTCTTGAAATGCTCTGTATATTTTCTTCATACTTTCAGAAAAAATCACAGAAAATGTTAAGAAGTTACTTCTGTTAGTATTATTTAGAAATCGGAACTTAATTAGATATTTTGAAAACTTTCAAGAATCTTTCTTGACAGTCGACATTGGCAATTGGCATGTTACAAGTCCTTCTTTCAATCGGGTGTAAGCTATTGACGTAACTCCTTCCTCGCTGAGATTGTCCTTGAAATTTCACGTCATTATATCTTTTTTCAAAAAAGATTTTCAATCATTCAACAATTTTCATGCAAAAATGTTCTAAAAGCTCACGACAAGTAGCCTGAAACTTCCATTTATTAAATGTTCAAAGACAAAATCGATTAAATTCCGCTGCGAATTTCAAATTCTTATTTTTCATGTTTACCATGTCAGCTCCCCGGTTAATAATTTCATCCATAAAAGTGCCAAACAAATGGAACGCATTTAGTAAGAAGGAAGCAGCGCGATTACAGTGTTGTTAAAATGTAGCCTCTTCATGTTTATCTAAAAAATGTCCCAGAATAGCAAATAGATTTTGCTTCCCACCATGAAGTTATTAATTTTAAATTAAAATAAATGTGTACATTTCAATACCGTACATGTATTGAGCATTTTTAAAAGAAAAGAAGAATTTGCACAATTTTGGTAACACTCTGACAGAGAATTTGCAGGTGTTTGAAATTTGATGAATTTCGTGTTTAAGTGGAAAATACTGAGTGAACTAAACACGAGGATACCCTTGGTTCAAAAAATTGTTCAATTTATATTGAACAATTTTTGGAGGAGATATGACCAAATGATGTAATCTGCTAAAATACGTGTGTTTAAATGGGAAATGCCACCAGATGACGTATAACCAGGCGGTGCGTTTTCTCACTTTTAAATCTATTTTTATAATTTTTTCCATATCCGAAAAAAATTATAACAAATACTGTGAAATCAGCTCTTTAAGTACTTTCAGATGAAGCGATAAAATATTTTCGTGCAAATTCTCCATCGTGCTGGATCCTTTTTGCTGAGTGCGATCCAAATGAGCATACATTTTTTCAATATGCAGATAAAGCGACTGCATTTAGACGAGGGACATTGAAAGCTTACCTTATTTGACCTTAGAGTGACCTTGCCTCCGCACCTGGCGCAGCAGCGTATGTGGCAGTAATTACAGACATGGCCAACACCGTCGGCGAATTTAGTTTTCAGGCAAATGTGACACGTTGCGTCGAGCTCTACTCCCGCCTTCTTTTGTTGCTCGTTTCGCTTCCGGATTGTTTCCTCCAAAACTTCCACTTCATCCTGCTTCCGCCTGAAACATCCCAACATGACCGGTATATATCAGTATCTGATAAAAGAGAAACAACTTAATCGGCCCGAAACACTGACAAAGAAACAACTTAAATCGGGACTAAGGCCGCACAAGAACAGTCTCACAACTTTGAGTCTCGCAATAACAGCGGTGAGGCTCATAGTGTCTTTCTTTCTAATTTCCTTAGTTTTTGCCGGTTGAAAATGCGGGTGCGATCCCTGCGAAACGTCCCGGGCTTTTTATTTTCTTTAATGTTTTCTTTTTAATATTTGCGGCCTTTGTCCCAATTTAAGTTGTTTCTTTGTCAGTATCTTATAATATACACAATAACAGTGCATCCATATAAGTTGCAACTGGACTGCAGAAAGTTACCAGGCCATATCAACTATGGCCAATTTGACTGCGGGCAATTTAGTATTTTACAAGAGAAGTTTTGTGTGGATTCCCCAGAAAATTTTAAGGATTTTGCTTCGCACTATGCAGAAAATTCAGTGAAATTCGCACACAAATCCGCACAACCGTTTTCATGAAAAAAATCAAATTGCCCACTTTTTTGCTATAGCTGATGCGAATTGGTTCTTGTCTGCTTAACGCTGTCCAACTGACCCTGAGAACTTTATTTTCCCGAAAATAAAGAGAGAGAAAATAGGGGTCAAAAAAATAAGGACCGTTTTCGCGTCAACTCTAGCTGAATTTCCTCAACCCTACAATTTTCCGCCCATTGAAGGTCTATATTTTACAGAATGTATAAAGATTTGTTCATTTCCCGTGTTTTTTACTGGTGGAATATACCGACCTAACATGCGGGTCTGAATTCCGATTTTGGCGGAAGCTGCAACTTTCCGAGTCTGCGGTTGAGTGCCAAGAAATTCGCATTATTCGCAAACGGGACCTCCAGACTCATGTTTAGGCGAGTATTAGACCCTGAAGAGACCGAAAATGACCGAATCCTGATATATTCCGATGAAAATAGACCCTCAGGGGTGAGCCAAAAATCGTAGAGTTGCGGAAATTCAGGGTGAGCTCAAAAACGATCCTTAGCTATACCACTAATTATCATCATAAAGTCGCTTTCGAACTGAATGATTCATCCAACTCATAGTCGCAATCTGTAGTCCCTAACAGAGGGTCAATTATTAAAGTCGATAGGCAAAAATATAGGCAAAGAGGACGAAAGGAAAATTGAGCGATCCAATTGCTTGAAACGGGTGGTTGTTATAGACTAAGAGGGAAACTGTTGGACTAGCTCTACGGTCCCTCGTGGGTTGCCGTTAGTTCTCTAATCCGTAACTCATTCGTCCATTGCAACCAAATTGCTCCATTTTCCCTTATTCTCCTTTGCCTATCCCTTTGTATATTTGAATAATCAGTCCGCATGAATGTAAACACCGTGGTGCTGCGCGCAGCGCGGCGCGGACGGTGCGCCTTATGTACTGAAACGAGTGTGAGGAAAATCAGAGCGCCTTCACTTTTTGTTACTGCAACACGCGTATCTTGAGCTGGTTTTGTTGCATCCACACAAGTGCGTCTTACAACAGTCGCCCGCTTCTCTTCATTCAAGGATTGTACAGTTTCAATTTAAAGAAATCGGAAAATAATCTGCGAGACACCTATCAATTTTATTTTTACGAGGAAGTCATATTCATGGGAGGATTCTAAAGTTTTTTTTTTCTCTCGACGTTTTGATGGTTCTGGCGGTACTTAGTTTACGCTGATTGTGATTTACTTCGGAATAAGGTTCCTTCTGCTAGAAATATTTGAAAACAGATTTCTGCTATTTATTTTTTATTTATTGTTATAGAGTCTCTATTACTTTTACAAGCAGTAGATTATAAGTTGGTGGTTTGTAGGCATTTAGAATGAAATATTAATGCACCAAGAATCCAATCGGGACAACCGGTTGTCTTCTCCTATTCAATGTGAAGGTCCAAAGATGTAGTTATAACATCCCTTCAAATATACATAGTCCTGAACTAGACTCCCCTCCCCTCGCTCTCTGATTCCTGCAATTTAAAGTCGGCTATATTTTACAGCACAGATTTAAGTTGCTATTTAATACGGCGCAGTAAGTGCGTTACAGCTAAAGTTTTAATAAAATGACAACAGGGTGACAGTTCCGGCCGGAACTTTTTCTTTTCAGCAACGATTTATCAAAACTTCCGTGGGCGGCAGACAAAAAACACTTCAAAAACTCAAAACCAGTCACTCAAACTCGTTACGTAATTCACGCCCGATACTTTTCTTCCTCCCTTAAAGCCGCCGCATGACATCGGCAAAGGCCCCCTCCAACCTTTTTGTCGTTTACGTAATTTAGGGATGGCCCATTGCGTTCTTTCCCCTCTTTTTTAATACTTGCAATCATACGTGGGAGAAGATATCAAGGTCTACATACATTTAAGAAATGGATTGTGGTGGAGAAATTCATGATTTTGATAAACTTTAAAGTAGGTACGCACCCACCCTAAAATTTTCCAGCCTGGCAGAGCGTTTCCCTTATATTTTTATTTAATTTTTAACAAAAGCAAATCATTGCGATCCCTTCAAAATCCTTGCAGGGATCTACATGTATTTCCAAAATAACAACTGTAAAATTTAACGCGCGATTCTCAAAAATTGTTTTTGTTATATGACGATTAGTCAAGAGTGTTCTTAATCTTCCCTTAATCACAATGGTAACCAAATGGAACTTCCTAGGGGAGGAAGCGGTTGAGGGAGCGACTATGAATACGACTCTTAGTCAATTTAGACTATCGAAATGAGAAAATTGAGAGAGAAGGAGGTGTTGTTATGGTGACTAATTTTTTAAATGAAATGTTACTTCCTCCTTTTGATTCATCTTTTCAAATTGTCATTGGTGAATTTGATGTGAATTTTTGATTTTATTTCTATCCTTAATATTTTTGATATGAAGTATACCTTATATACACCTTTTTTTATTGAGAATATTACTTCATTTTAGAAACATTTACATTTTTAAAACGTGGCAAGTACTTTCTAAGAGATAGGACCGATATTAATATCATTTGGCCGCAGTGGTGTTGAAAGAAACTGTACGAAAATGAATGAAAGAGGGAAAAAACCAAGAAGTTCGCAATCATTGGTATTTTTACATCGTCCTTTTAGGGTCAAATGCGTCCAATTTTAAGCATTTGGTTACGAGTGCACCACACTGCAGCACAGTAAAGGCACAAAATATAAAAGAGAAAATTAAAGTGCTTTGTAAGTCATTTGACACGGAACCACCTGAATATTTACAAAACACACTTTATATTTTCCTTTACATATTTTTTCCCCCATCGATTTAAATGAGAATAATCCACGCTGAGTGTGCAAACATTCCAAAATCACGGGTTGAAAAAGGCTGACTCCGCGAGTTTAAATATTAGAGCCAAGCACAGAGCGAAGCGGCCCACAAACCTAAAAGGATACTTCACGCATTGCGCAATGCTTGAAGTATCCACTTAGGTTTGTAGGTGCCGATGCACGATGCGCGTCGATCGCCTTCTCGCCGCGCCGCGCCGCAGCGAGCCACGGCGGCGCCATAAGCAACTATTTCACAATAGAGGTGTTGCACAGTACCATACGAAATTGAAGGCGCTCCAGCATGTTAAGGATGACAGGCATCCTTAAAGAGAACGGAGCTTTCCTCGCAAAATAAATCAAGATACTCAAGCACAAAAAGAACGCGGTAGTCCAAAAATTCAGTAAGTGAAAGCATCCGTATTTAATGACGTTTAGCATAATTTTTGAATGTCATCAGAGAAAAAAAGTGACTCGATTTAGGCAGAAACATCCTTGAGTATGCAGTCAAGAAGAACTTATTTTAAATCAAGACAAAAGTAGCTGAATGAAAGCTGGTTTCTGTTTAATGTGAGTGACTTTTCGTGACTTATGTAAGCATCTTTTTTTAAACAAACATTATTTTCTTTATTGATTCATGAGGAAATTCTCTCGGCGGTAAATTCGAGCTTAGATCTGCTTGAATCAAGTTACTTTTTCCTCTTATGAAGTTCAAAAATCATACTAAACGTTCTTGAATACAGATATTAGGACTTACATGTATTCACATGTGGACTTATTAACTTTGGGTCTCAATGGGCTTGTTGCATGCAAGAGATACAGCCGCGCGAATAGACTTTTCAGAGGTTAAATGACACGAAAATTACGATGGTCACATTAAAAAAGTCTGGAATACACTCCTTACTGCGCAATTTGCGTTGTTAGGAACGCACTTTTTCAAATTTCCCGCGTCTGGGGGCAGTTTTCTAATCACCGGAAACGAACAAACGGCGGGCTTGGTGATTTCCGGAAGACGCCGAGTTGTTGTTGTTGTTGTTATTATTTTTTCCTTTAGTTTGTTTACAAACCCAACGTGATCTCTTATAGTGGTCCATATACGCTTTATGCGGTAAACAAAGCGATCAACTTTTAAATATCCAACGCAATCCTTCTACATTTCATTTCACGATATCACGAGCTCCGATTTTTAGGTTATGTTGTCAGTTTTAGTTGACCGGAAATAGCTGCGAGTTGCCGTTAATTGTTTCCGTTAGAAAACTGCCTCCAGACGCGGGAAATTTGAAAAAGCGCGTTCCTAACAACGCAAATTGCGCAGTAAGGAGTGTATTCCAGACTTTTTTAATGTGACCATCGTAATTTTTGTGTCATTCAACCTCTTAAAAGTCTATTCGCACGGCTGTATCTCTTGCATGCAACAGGCCCATTGGTAAGTGGACCAAAACTCCCCTGCCGAAAAAAACGCGAGAACGTAAACTGCTAGAAAAACAGGTGCGTGGACAAAAAATCGTTGTCAAAATGTCCTTTAACCTGTAATGGAGTTACGTTCCTCTGCCCGGAAAACTCCATTCCAAGGTTGCAAAATTGACTTAAATAATTCCATTTCTTACAAGAATGTGCCGATGCGATATTTGTCCAAAACTATTCTGATTTTAACACGAGATAAGAAAAATCGGTAAAATTTCCTGTTCAAAACACCCAAA